AAGTCAATTCTATCATGCAGGTTTGCCTTATAGCATTCAAACCCTTTCCATATGTGGGTTATATTTTTTTCTTTAAGCAAGCTAAGAAGCTGAGAATGTGTTTAAAGGTGACCTGTGTTGAAAAAAAAAAGAAAAAAGGAATGGGAAAGTCTGGAGACAATCAGAAAGGAAAAGCTTCTGAAGATTGACTTGTTTCAGTATCCTTTTCAAAGGATAAAAATAATGAATCAAATAACAAATGTTTGAACCTTTAGTATGTAATCACCCTTATTAAGGCAAAAAAATGACAACGATATGGACAGGAATTTCAGTCACCAACATGAAAAGAAAGCAAGGCTTTGTAGTCCTTGAAGGAAAAGGCTTCCTTTGGATTTTACTGTGAAATGACACCACGACTGTGTCAACAACTTTTAAGATGAACAAGTCATTCAAGGGAATTAGTAATATGTAAAAAAAAAAAAGTAACTACTTAAAAAAAAAAAATAGCCTTCCCCAAAAGTTAATCATTTCAAGATTTGACAATCTTCCCAAAGAAGACCATGTCCTTCAGTATGCTTGCATAGCTCTTAGTACACAGCAGAACCTCATTCCTGACAAGGGCCCCTGTCAATACTGAAATATAAACACCAGACAGGAGGCAGGTGACGTAATACACAAGAAAAAGGGAGAGCAGATACCTCATTGAAAATAAATTCTTGATATTCCTTTCCATCTACAATCTCACCCTATATTTGTGTCATTTCTGCATGGGAGGGAAGAACCAAAGCTTAAAACACATACAAAAGGGGAACCTAAGTAAATCAAGGTAATTAGCAGATGTCTCAGTAATCTTCCACAATTAAGAAACAAAATCTGCCAGCTGTATGTGTAAATTCAAAGATTAACATTAAGAGGCAATGCTGAGACTACAGGTATTACCTTTCAGGCAGAGTACCTCAACAATCCAAATCCTGAAGAAACCGAGCCTGTTCAACTGCGGACTCAAGTGCTACCCTACGCTGCAGAACATCTACAGATTCATCGGCCAGAGAGTTGTCAAAGTAAACTGGAATCTTGCCACTGTTTGAGACGGCAGTGAAGTAGTGACTATATAACTAGGTCAGACCTGATTACCTAGAACAAGGGCAATTTTCTTTAAATTTCTGCGTAAAGCAGAGACTGAACATTTGAGAGCTGCAGGAAGAATATCCAGAAAACATTCTAGAGAGAAGAGGTTTAATCACATTTTAATATGGATGGCATTTTCTATTAACATGAGGGCAGAAGCCTATTGTTCAGTAAAGCTCTTCACTTCCTTACTCAAGTGCTATCTCTTTGAATCTGAGTCAACTTTAGTGACCACTTTAATATTCACTTTACAATTAACGCTTCTTTTTATGGGTTGGTAGAAGGTAAACCAATTTCAATTCAGCTTCTAGGTATTGAATTTATTATAAAAAGTTATATACTTAAAACTCCTATAATGAAACCAGAAGCATCATGAGATATTAACCTAGAGTTAATGCTGAGAAGGCCAGTTTGAATAATTCAATTCATGTCACCTTAAGTATCTTTTCAAATGGAATTAACTTTATCTCACATAAAAAAGAAGCTCCATGTTCCAGTTACTGATTCTTGACTCCACGAGAATTCTGTCTTAAATCATCTCACCACCATCTTCCCAGCAATTTTATTTCACTACTACCAGAACGCTTCTTTAAATTTTGAAGGCTGAAATTCATTATAAAGAAGCAATATTAGGTGAGAGAAAAACGTGGCTTCAGAATTATTGCTACCGTTAGGCAATGCTAAAACAGACAAAAATAGAAGTTAACACGAAAGTATCTGCATTAGTTCAATACAGCTACAAACCAGGGCTGCACTTCAGCCCCATGCACACAGCTGCTGCAGTCGCTTCCCCTCTGCACAACTCAACTTCTTTTTGCCACAGATGTTTGGTAACAGCAACAGTTCTATTGACCTGTTAATTGTCTCATTCTAACACAAAGCCCGGCATTTAAACACTGAAAGGAGATGCTTTCAGATACCTATCTAAGCGCTGGGGAAAGCGACAGCTCATGGTCAGCGCTATTGTACAGTAAGAATGAGGGAGCCAGACAGGCAAAACTCAGGCGATGTTAAGATACAGGTGTAGCTTTAGAAATTAATGAAAACAAGTAGGAAGAAAGGGGAAAATGAAGAGGAACAAGAAAAAAATAGCTCACAACGGGCAGAACAAAGAAGTGCATCAATACAGAGTACAACTGTGCAGTTCTGTGTTTCTGCAAGACACAGGAAAATCAGAACGACATCTTACATGGAAGCATAGATGTCCCAGTAGGATCAGCAGTCACCTGAAACAGGGTACGCTGATTATCTCTCCTAGACAGTTCAAAGAAGTGAAAACCACGTGGCACGCTAGCATCTATTGATTTAAAGACAGGTATATCCAGGATTTCCTTAGCCTAGCCAAAAAAGAACAATAGGGGAAAGATTCCCAGTAGATCAGGATTCATACAAAACTCAGGAAAGCCTCTTTTAGCCTGTGACCCACTCTGGGTGCTCCTGCTCTGGCAGGGGAGTTGGACTAGATGATCTTCTGAGGTCCCTTCCAACCACGAACATTCTGTGATTCTGTGATATTTAAACAAGGTGGCTTTTTTCAAAGTCCTGCTTAAAACAAAAGGAAGGAGAGCACAAAAGCTTAGGCGAGGCAGCAAGAGCTGACATGGGCAGCACTCAGAGCAGGAAGAAAGTTTTCTGGGTTTCTCCCCCTCGCAAAAGTACCCTCCTGCTGTGTTCCCCTGTGTCATTCCCCACCAAAGCAGACACAGAATGCAAGCCTTCAATCTGCCTGAACCACTGTTAAGACAATTCTCAAACAGAACAAAGAGAGACCTATCACGACTGTAAGAGCTCACAGTTAAGGTATTAAGACAAGAGACAAAAAGACAGCACCAAAACCGTCTGTGAAAATAGCATACTAGTCCAACTAGAAGCAGCCCAGTGATTTTTCTTCGGTTTTGAAAGCTATCACATTCAGCATGTTAGGGAAAGATGGAAAGCAATGAGGCAGTCCTGCAAACCTCTCTGCAGTTTCTGAGCTGTGAGGAGAAACATAGCATGAAGTGCCTTTTTGGAAGAAGAGGTAACTATATAGCCAAATGCATTCCAGAGACAAACAGCTCAGTGCCTACCAGGACTGCACAGAAAGAGAGAATTGAAAATGAAGGCCAGAAACTTTAGAAATATTTTGCAGGCTGTAAGAAAAATCAGTTGCAACATGCTTGAACAGGTTTTTATTTGTATGGAGAAAGCTTTGTACAGGGCAAGAGAGCTAAGCTAATTTCAGACCTGGTAGTCTGGAGCAGTAGACTAGGTAACCATAAATGGTTATGTCCACACAAACCTCAATATAATATCTGAACTTGCATTTGTGGACAAAAGTACCTGTAAGTATGGAGAATAAAAATAATGAGATCGAAAGATAACCTTGATAGAACTTTCCACATGAAATCAGAAAACAAGTTCAGAGGAGTCAGAGTGTATCCACTGTTACGGCAATTAGGAAGACAGAAGAACAAGGAGATGAATGTGGATTGCTGTACTATCAGATGATGGTTTGACAGGTAGTGGGCTGAAGGTTTCCTATTATCTCCTTCTTATACTTTAGCACTGTAGATGTGATTATACTGGACACCGGATTATACTGGATACCTTTATACTAGGTGCTAACCTAGTGTATTTCAAGTTGAAAGATTAAGTATGGCAAAACCTGAACTGTTGGCATCATCCCAAACACAGCTGCCGTGGTGCTGTGGGACTACTTGTGCTCTTCTGGATTGTTTTTCAGAGATCTCCAGCAAGCTGCATATCACAGGCAAGAATACAGGCATCATCCATTCTCAGAGAAAAAGCTTCCTGTTTAAACTAAACATCACCACAAAATGGATGGCAGATAAAAATACAAAAGAATGGAAATTAAATGTTTATAACGGCTAAAAGCTTGACAAACAGCTCAATGCCCAACAACATATTTTACAGGAAAAAAAACATGAGCAGGATAAAAAACGATTCCTGATGCCAATGAAGTCAGGGAAGTATTACCACCTTTTTGCTGAATGGAATTAAAAATGACTCCTTTCTTCACAGGCACCCGAAACATAGGATCTCTCTGTGTAGTTTTGTTAGTAGGCAACTAGTGAGAGGCCAGAATCAGGCCACCTTCTGGATACTCTGGACTTTACTTCTAGCCCTGTTATAAGCCTTTAAGACTCTTCCAGAAAAAAAAAGGATCAAGATTCTAATCTATAGAAAAGGCATAGTCTTAGGAAGGATAGACTCTGGAGACGTGTAGATGAAAGCTACTGAAAATGAACATGGGGTAGAGTACTTGCACATGGAGCCTTCACTTCCAGGGTATAATCTGCTATCAGCAGGGATGTAAATCAAGTACCTAGCTATCAGAAAAAAATCTCAAGCGACCATGTTTTCAAGACTTTGCGTGCATATATCTGAGAAATATTTAACACATATCTCTAGTCAACGTTTTCTGTTTAAAAACTGCGTATATAATTATAGGTCTTCTATAAACAGCTCAAATCAGATGGCATGTCTTACAGACTTGGGAAAGCTCTTATTGACCAAATACATCATCTGTAACATCCCCTTCAATTATCAAAAGCCACAGTGAAAATTTGAAAGGCTGTATATTTTTCTGTTTAAGAAACAGGGCAGAAAACAAAAGAGCATCTTTACTTTTTCCTTAGCAAAGACATGGGTTCCTATGATTCCCACTCCATTACAACATTATGAATTAACTTCACCAAATTTATTGGCCCAAAACTTGGGGTTTTGTTTGTCTTCCCACAATGAATGTTTTAAGGAAACTTCTGGGAGGCCAGTCACAAAACAGTATTGGATGCTGTAAAATGCAAGACAATGTACTTGAAGTTACAGTTCTAGCAAAAGAGAAAAGATGTTTCGAAGACGTCACTACAAAAGGAGAAAAAAGAGCTTACCTTCTGCTCCTTTTCCTTAGCAGCACTGAGTTCAGAAAGGGAGAGCGATAGTTTTTCCTGCTGCTCAGCTAGGTACTTCTGATAAAGGCTCAAAAGTTCCTGGCATTCTCTGTACTGCTGCTGCAGAGGTGAGACATCTGAAGTTAAGGGAAAAATATACTTTGGTGAATAGTTAGAGTCAAACGTATAGCAACTCACTCTGTGTAAATATGATTTAAATCCATAACAGTTCAATTTAAAAACAGATACTGTGTGTTTGAGTACTGCCTAATGATGATAAACCTCCCTAGAGATGAATGTTCAAGTACAACCTTCTTTCTACTTAGATAGTGGAAAAAGAATTGCACAAATTCTTTTATTATTGGAAAAGGGACAGCAGCAGCAGGAGGAAGGTGATGACATTGTTTCAGTTGGAATAATTACAATCCTCTGATTTGTATTCAGCAAAGCCAAACACTACCAATGTTTATTTATAAATAAATAAATAGTCAGCCAAGTAAGTAAATAGTCCATTTTTAAGCACAGACATGGATTCACAAGCCCACATACCCAAATCCAATCGCTTTGCTTGAGCACCAAAAGCTCCAAAACCCACATCCACAGATGCTGCGCTACAGGCCCTTTAAAGACCAGAAATGATTTTTGAGCAGTAATCTGGAGAAGCAGCAACGGTGGTGTTTGCAAGGATATTAGCAAGCAACAGTGTCCTGCCTTGGTTGCAGCATTGAAATTCCAACAGGAGACAAATCTGCTCTTCACCTGTCATTGTGTAATTCCCTCCCTTGCTCATGTAGCATGGTAAACCATTTATGCTCCCCTCTCTCCCCCCTCACTTTTAATTATGCATGCAGATGGGATAAGGGCTCGCTGTCCAAAGAGATTACTCTGAATAAATACTTTAATAACAAGTCACTGCAATTAAGGTAGGGAACAAAAACTTCTTCAATCTATAAAATGGTGTTGAGTTACAGATTTCCTTAACATTTTTATGATCTAATCATTGCTTCTGGGCAAATTCATGTTGCAATCATTTTTGCCAATCACGGCTGCATAAATAACTCACTGCTTTGTTATTCCCTGTTATGACCCTGAGGTTTTTAGGTTTTTTTCTTCTTCTTCTTCTTCTGGGGGAGGGGGAGCCTTGCCACGGTTCTGCTTGTTTGTTTGTTTTTCTTTATATAAAAGGCTACACAGAGAATAAGCAAAAACATTTTAGGAAGGAATGGGAGGTTATTAAACCCCAGTGTTTAAGGCAATCAGGTGAGGTGCTAAAATACCTTTGCTCAGCACCTGAAAATAAGGGAGGGTACAAACAATGGTCTAAACAAGCTAATTGCTTTCCAGAACCCGCTTGCCTGAAGCCTGAGCTGTTTTACATTTCAGTTCATTTCATGAGAGAGCACCAAAAGGCTGAAGTGATTTGTGGTGGTCTCAGGAGTCTCTGCCAGCTATGATGTATATAAAAGGAATTTTTTATTCTGGTTGTAACCATAGGCAGTAATGTTTATAGTAGGTGAACATATTAGCCTGGACGCAGGGCATGAATTTTACTCTAGAAAAAGCCAGTTCATTTATACAGCCTAAGAGTTAAATGTCGGTATTTGAAGACAAATTATAGGGAAATTCATTTAAACCCATGTTATGTGGCAGAATATAAAAACAGACAGTCCTATCTTTATCAATTTTTTACAGCCCTCTTAATTCACTTTGCTTCTAGCAACCCGTTCCCCACAAAACTGGTTTTACCCTCTTCTCCCTCCAGCTAGAACAAGGAATGAATACCCTAAACTGCCTTGGGGCACACAACTGATGGCCATGCACCTTACCCTCACTCTTGCCACAGTGTTAATATCAGTTCTGCTGGAAAGCTATATTGCACTCACTCTCAAGCTTAGCACATATGTGGTGCAAGTGTACCACAAAAGAGATGCCGCCCAAATTGTGTTTTGCAGAACAAAGAGCCCTTGCTGTTGCTGTGTGTACGATGCCACCACCTCTTGCTTTCAGCCACCTAATTTACTTAAAATACAGCCTAAAACAAGACATATAAAATTAACATTAGGAAAGCATGCAAGCAAGTCCTGATTGTCCAAGGGTGACAATTCTATGATTCTGTGATAAAGGTTAGTTATATGATCATGAGCAGGAAGGGCAATAGTCAACATACGCTTGAGTGCCAGCCGAGATATCTCTGAAATTCTTCTAAGACTCGGTCAGCACCTGTAACTGTTAAAACTTCCTGTTTATTCCTGTCTAAATCTTGTTCATTCACACAATCACTCTGCATTAAGCCACATATTGTTACAGCTACCACAGTCTAAGAGTCCAAAGCCCTGCTTTCCTAACTAGGTAAGTAAACATGAAACTTCAAAGAGGAAAATAAAAGTTCATTTGCTTAAGACACATGCAGAATAAGTCTAAGTACAGTAATACTCCATAATGTACTGGTATATTTACTGTTGAATATGTTCTTAGGAAAAAAAAAAAGCGCCTTAATATTAGATCTTACTCTTCCATTCTGCTGAATTTTTGCTAAAAGCAGTAAGATGATCTTTTTTTTCCTCACAAATTAGCCAGGCAATATACAATACTGTGACAAAAATATTTAAGTCACTCAGATACAACAAGAGCACACATGTACTATGGCATTACAGTCTCTAAACAAATACATAGGTAATGATAAATATTTTCATAATCTGCTTTAAAAAGAAGATGTTATACAGGTGGAAAAAAAAACAACACTAAAGGACAAGTACTACAGATTTGCATTCCATGGAAAAAAGTGCCTTAATGCTGATATCAAGTATTTGTTCATGTGTTCAGGAGCACAAATATTGGATTTACAAGATGTTAGTTACCTGAGAAGTGGTACTTGGCATTTCACTGAATGGTAGTTTTATGCCCAAGAAATACGCATTTGAATGTATCCAAGTAACACATTTTATGTGGTTTGTTAGTAAAGTATTACAGTTGTATGTGGCAGGGAGGGGGAAAGAAAAATCAAAATCAGAAATGCAAAGGTTAAGATAGAACTGTATGTCATACTAGGAGTACTATATATTTTATAGAATAAATTAGTTAATTTCATCACTGCATGTAAGTCACAGAATTAAGAGTTCATTTATGGCTCTTAGGACATAATAACATCAGTGGAGATAGAGTTGGCTCTGGGAAAAGGGACTGCTGGAATGCAGCAGTAGCACACTTTCAGAAGCCAGGAATAGGGAGATGGACATTAGGCAGGGAACAAAGAGCTGCTTCTTAGCAGTGAAGCTTCACAAGAAGGCACAGCCAACATAATGCGCAGTTGCTGCCAAAAACACTCTCCTGCTCACCTCCAAAGCCTCACCATCTCAATCAGCTCTGCAGCTCTCCCAAATCCCTTACTCACTCCAAGGGCTCAACAAACTGACCCAGCAAGGCAAAAGGTCAGTCAAGCACAAAAGCTGGCACAAAGTGAGCAGAGGGAACAGGCAGCTGGGAGAGGAGACACCTACCTCTCCCAGCAGCAGTGGTGTGTATCTGCTGGTGTCCAACCACCTTGCAAAGTCTCAGCCTTACTCTTTTCTCCAGTTCCACTCCTAGGTCTCAGGCTTTTAGGTCTGCTCTACACCTACATCAACTACTCCCAGCTTACTCCTTGCTGAAATACTTCTAGCCTTCTCACAAGCTGAGGCAGGACAGACAGACAGTTTCTTGCTTCCCCAGAAACTGCGGCAACTGGGGAAGGGGGAAGAATTGGGAGAAAGCATCAGTCTCTGGCATACCACTGACCTTTCACTGTTTCCTGTACACTGTTTCCACTGCCTCTTTGACTATAAATGAGGCCCAGCTTAAAATCTGAAGTGTTTTGGTTTAGAGCATTCAGCAGCTTCCTAGAAAGTTTTCAAATTCTACACATCAGCCTCCACATCCTTCTGTGAGCAATGTTTACACTACAGCAGTTCAAACATCCACTGGTCTCTTGATCTGCAGTCAAGGTTTTCAGATGAAGTCAACATCAGACTACTCCACATAAGCCATTTGTTGCAGTTCTGCCTTTCTTAAACCACTTTTTGTAAAAGGAAAGAAAACAAAAAACAAATAAGGGAGAAGACCTGTTTAGAAAGAAGGGGAGGTTTAGCTTGTATCATTCAAGAAGAAATGTTTAGTTTTACCTCACTTTATTCTAAGGAAAAAGGAAATTAAAGCAGCCTCCAATCATGGGAATCTGGGGCTAGAAAAAAAACACTTTCTAGAAGCTATTAGCAAGAGAAAAGAACACTACTAATGTGGTATTTTGGCATTTAACTGAGTAGCAAAGGCCCTTCTGTATTTTCAGAGTGTTTGTGAGAGCTTCTCACCTAGTTACTCCTTCATCAATGGCTTGTCACAAGCATTTTTTGAGACAGGCGTGAGCTCTGGGGTTCCATTTTTACACATGGAAGAACTGTGGCACAGGGAGTCTTTTTGCATGTCTGTGCACACAGGTGCAGCCCAGCAGTTCCACACTCCATAAGCCAGCTCCAGTACACAAGTCTCGCAGCTGTAGGGTAAGTTGGCATGGCTCAGACACAGCACTAACAGACAAAATTCAGCTCACACCTTATTAGCTTACAGTGCAGGTTTTCCTGCATTCACCCATGCAGACAAACCCTAATAGACTTTCCAAGCATCAAACAGGATGCCCAGGGATGACTGATACCTGTAATCCCTCATTGCCTCTCTGACTAGAACCAGCCTTCCATTCAAAGCTGCATACTCTGAACTATGTCCAGAAGAGAAGAGCTAAATCTCCATCTCCAGCAACAAGATGCTCCAGTCCCATCAGATCCTATATTCTCTAGACTCAGAGATATGAAAAGATTAACAAAGCAAAAAAGGGAAGAAGTCAAACACCCACAAGTTAGATTTAAATTTAAATAAGACAGCAATAACTTACACTTTATGGTAGAGATACAAGAAACCTTCAGAGTTACGATTTCAGCACATGATGAAAGTTTTTTGACATCTGCAATCATGATCTAGTAGGCACAAAATGCTTTTTTAAAAAAATCTTTGCTTCAGGACATGCATCTAGTAAACTGGCTAGTTATCATCATATTGGCAGCTTCAGCAAGGACCAAACTCCCTCCACTGCCTCAAGTAG